CTTCCATTGCCCTACTTAGTGGGGCAATGCTGTAGGGCTTAAAAGCTTGACTCATCCACTTTTTGGAATCCCCTTCCTGGGGGAGCAGCAGCCAGCACCCCTTGCTTGCCTGAAGAAACTGTGCAAAAATAAAGCAGATTCTTGGTCGGTGCAGCCTGGGTTTATATGTTCTGCAGGGCCTCAAGCACCAGCCCTAAGGTGCCTCCCCAAGTCATGCAGCAGAATGAAGAGGTGAATCACACTCACCTTCCAGGATGATGTATATGTTACGGAAGAGGTTGAGCAAACATATGGAATTCATTGCAGGTAACATATGTCACCTGTCTTCATAACTCAAAGAGAGCCATTATTCCCTTCCAGTGTTCTCCCTCCCTTCTCCCTGAAAGTGAATTTCTGCAAAGAATACAGATATGGCTGAAGGAAACACTGTAATAAATTAATTTCATTCATGCTGTTTAGTGATGGACTTGAACCAAGCTTTGGGATTTATATTATCTCTCCTCCAAAATATCTGGATTTGCATTATATTCCCTCCAAATAGCTTAAGACAATGGTACAAAAAAAGGGAGTTGATTTCTCACTTTTGATAAAAACAGGTGCAGTCCCCAAACTGGGAGAGGAATCTTGCTTCAACTTGTTCATCCCAACAAAGTTCTGGGAGAAAATTAGGACCATGGCTTGGATTCTGACCCATCACTAAAATGAAGTATTTCAGCCCTTGGATCTACTTGTTATCAACACAGCATGCAATATAATATTCTGCTTAGTATGGGGAGGTGTGGCTTTCTGGAGTTGCATGCAGCAAACTAATAATGCATTCAATGAGAGAACAACAGAGAACATGTAGCCCTACAGTCCAGACACTGCTGTATGATAAGCACTGCATGCAACATCATGCTTCATCAAAGACAAGTGCAAGGTCCTGCACTTAAGGAGGAATAACCCCAGACACCAGTACAGGCTGGGGACCGACCTTGTGGAGAGCAGCTCTGCAGAGAAAGACCTGGGTGTCATGGTGCATGACAAGTCGACCATGAGGCAGCAGTGTGCCCTCGTGGCCAAGAAGGCCAATGGAATCCTGGGCTGCATTAAGAAGAGCATCTCCAGCAGGTCGAGGGAGGTGATCCTGCCCCTCTACTCAGCCCTGGTGAGGCCGCATCTGGAGTATTGTGTCCAGTTCTGGGCTCCACAGTACAAGAGGGATGTGGAGCTGCTGGAGAGAGTCCAGCGCAGGGCCACAAGGATGATCAGGGGCCTGGAACATCTGCCCTATGAGGAGAGGCTGAGGGAGCTGGGCCTGTTCAGAAGAGAAGCTGAGAGGGACCTGGTCAGTGTATATAAATATCTCAAGGGAGGGAGTGAGGAAGATGGTGCTGGCCTCTTTTCAGTGGTGGCCACTGATAAGACAGAAACAGTCACAGACTGAAGCATCGAAGACAGAAACAGTCACAGACTGAAGCATCAAAAGTTCCACAGGAACTTAAGGAAAAAATTCTTGCCAGTGAGGGTGACAGAGCCCTGGAACAGGCTGCCCAGAGAGGTTGTGGAGTCTCCTTCTCTGGAGATCTTCAAAACCCACTTGGACGCAGTCCTGTGCCATGTGCTCTAGGTGACCCTGCATGGGCAGGGGGGTTGGACTAGATGATCTCTAGAGGTCCCTTCCAACCTTAATCCAACCTATGATTCTACGATTCTAGTTCAAAGCAATGTATAGCTACGCACAGGCATGCAACATGGTGGTGAAGTCTAATCATGCTATAACAGAATCTGCAATAAGCATACAAACACGCTAGATGAGCTGCAAGCATTGTACATGTTGCAAAAACATTTTACCTGATTTTTTTTCATATATAAAAAGTCTGAGGGCCCAAATGGCCTGGCCAAACAACCTTGGGAGTGGCCTCTTTCTGTGATGGTAACAGCAGTTTTCAGATAAACTTAGGAACATTTGCCAGCTGCAGTTAACTCCCGAGTCTGGCCTGCTAGTCTTCCTGCTCCTCTTCTATGTTGAAAACGAAACGCTTCTGTACATCTTGCTGCCCTAACAAGTTATCTTGATCCAAAGATAACAAGATCATACTTGTGATCCAAAAATTGTCACTTGATAATTAATGATGCAACATGTGGATTCACCGGGCTTTTATTTATCATTATCCATATCTGCTGACCCTTGGCTTGCACATCCACTTATTTGCTCACAGATTCACACAACACAACATTCATTACAAAAAGAATAGTATGTACATTACGGCTGATAAATACAACACTAGATCTCCTATTTCTCCTGTAGTGAAATAATCTTAAAACTTAAATATACATTGAAAAAGGAAAAATATTCTTACAAATTACCCATATCTGTTCATTCTTGCTCGACTCACACCCCAAATTGGGATAACAATACCTTTCTGTCAGGCACCAACAAGGTTGTTAAGTATGGCAAGTGAAAGTGCTTGCTCATTCCTTTCATCTAAAGATGAAATCCTTGCTAGATGCTTTAATAATTACATTTATAAAAAGTGGAAAAGCAAAACAAAAACAAGTCACATGTACGGTACAGAAGCATTAAATGGCACAGTCTGAGAGCAGCTGTAATTTTTACATGCCTGTGACAAGAAAGGAAAGATCCCTGACCAGACTGTTTACACTGGGGCTTCATTCCAGTTCTTGGAGTTGCAGCAACAGTTTTTCAGTTGTCAGACTGCACATGCACACACTTTCCTAATGTATTAATTATAATGGCTGGCACTTTCAAAGTCATTCAAGAGTCAAGGCAATTTTTCCCACTGATTTCTCTACATGAGAATTTGGTTATGTGTCAAGCACTAAGTGTGCCTATTAGGAAGAGCCATATCCCAACTTCCATGATGAATCAGATAACTTGGCTCCTCTTTCCTAAGAGGAAAGTTCTTTACAGTACTTAGGAAATACTGCATAATACCAGAAGTAATATTGGCCCAATACGTACCAGTCGCTTCTTCTGTGCCTGGATGCATAAAGGAAGCCCTAGACAGAATGGGATTGACTTAAGCAAGAGTAACAGGTACATTCAAATTACAAAGTTATGGGTGGGTCTGCCTAGTTGTCTGTTTCTCCAGTTATGGGAAACAGTATAGCCAAATCTACATAGCTCCAGATATAAAATAAACTTTTACTGCAGCTTTTATCTATGGATCTAGATTCTTCAGCATGGAGAGTTACAGCTAATATTTCTAGAACTACAGACCTGAGTCTCAGTCGCACTCAATCATGAGCAGCCAGGTTATAAGGATATGTGTTTTTCTTACTGCTAGTGGGCTGCAGCAGTGGAAATTCCTTATCCAGCAGGTCTGCTTTTAAAGGACACAGAGGCCCAACTTACCTAAACAAGAAAACTGATAAAGGGGATTTAGCACAGATATAGACAAACTGTGAAACAATTATCACCCTCAAGTAAATGTAACTCTTAGACACTTCGGTTTATATGTAATTTAAGCACTAGCTGCTGCCAGGTGTCTTCTTGTGAGGGAACTGGTGCTGTAATATGAGACCATCAGCCTTATTAATTTTGTACATACCTCAAGGCTTATGTTATGCTTCTTAATGCATATGAGCAAACTTCAGACATACATTTCTAGAGACAGATGAATTAATGAATAATAATTAAGATATCACATTCTGATTGAAAATTCACCTGAAACTTCAGAACTAACTAACTTCAGAAAAGTTTTAGACCAGGAACTACATGATGATAATGAGAAGCCAACATTTGTAATTCTTTTATGATAAACAGAAAATGTCAAATGCGAAGTTATCAACAAACAGGAAAATATGGCTTCCTGTTTGAAAAAAATATATTGTGCCCTAGATGTGGTTGAAGGAAGATGAGCCCAAAAAATACAGAGCATGTAGTCAAATATAATTTCAGCAGAAAAAAAAAATCCAGGTCTGTTTCACAGCAAAATACTGTTGTGCCTCTAAGCTAGTTAAGGAGAAAAAAAAAAAAAAAAGCTATCCCAGTGAAGGCATACAATGAAAAAGACTGTGGTACAGAATACAAAACTAGCAATTACCACACTTGTTTTATAAGCCAGCATCATTTACCTTCCAAATGTCAAAAACAGATGAGCCACCTGCATTGGAACTACAAATCTGCCTAGACATGAAATCATTCTTAAAGGTCACTGTTACAAATACCACATACATGTACATTCTAAGTTCAAAATAGCACAGTAGAAAAAATTTCAAATACCTCCATAGACCTCCATAATCTAGATTGTCTGAAAGGAAAACTCAAAATCCTATCATTTTGTAGCCCTCATGAACCATCCTGTCAAAATAATAATTAACTTTTTGTGAGGATTCACAGGGTCCAGTTCAAAGCTGATGTGGCAAATATAACTCAAACAACGCAAAGGTATTCACATGCAACAATTCTGCACAGAGATTGTAAGAATAACATCTAAATGTAGCAACAATTATCCTCCTTTAATGCCAGAAATAATCAGCTGTATCATTGATATTGCAATGGTTCAGGATAGATGACCAGCAAACAGAAGAGGTGAAATTCACTGACTGTTAAATTCAGAAGACAAGTATTATATCCATCTTATACTTGTTCCTTCAAAAGGCACTGTTTCGATACTTTGCTGTCAGAATTTGATTATGATAATTTGAAACTTTGATCTACAGTTGTTAGAAAATGTCAACACCAGAGTCCTCTAAAACTAACGAGCAATGCCTGCAAAACACTATTTGCCATAATTCTCAGAATGTATCTTTTAGACATAAAATGATTAACAGATATTCCTTAACCCAACACAGTATTTATGTGCTTTTTTTAGAACAGTACAGTGACATATATCTCTATTAATATCAGGTGAAAGATTTACCTGTAAAAGCAAAATAAAAAGTAGACTTAAGGTATCTGAAAACTATTTACTCTATGTTTTGCCATTTTCCTGGCTTGTCTTTGGAGACACAGTTCAGAAGTTACTTGAAAAGGTGTTTGTACAAATTCTTACCTTGTAATTTGCGTTCTAGTATTGAAGTCAAGAGATCTCATTGAGCGTAAGACTTCTATACATCCCAAGTACTGCAGGGAAAAATAAACATTTATAAACATTAGTATAATTTTTGTGTAGTTCTAGGAGGAAATACAAGTAATCATCAAAAGGCATTACATGGTCCTTGTTTTTACATCTGATTTATCCTAAGTATAAGCCAAATTTCTATTATCATATTCTTGTATGTCACAGATTTGCTTCATAAACATTTTACTTCATTTAAGTCTCAAGTTTGCTTCAACATATATTTTGATTTCTAATGTAATCACTGCAATACACCTAAAACATAATGATGGGTTGATGTGCTTGTTAGTTTTGATCTATCGCAATTGATCCATTTTAAAGTTACTCAAAATAAAACTTAAATCAATATAAAATGAAGTGTGGTAAAGGAAATCCATCAAGGACAGATTAATTAAAAAATATTATATAAAGGGGAGAAATAAGGCTTAGTGCAAGAAAGGTAAATTATGGTAGGGAAATCTGAAAAGAGCAGCAGCAATACAAAAAGTTTTCCTTAAAGATACTGGGAGATACTTAGGGACTGATATGATTTAATATCTTCATTAATGACACTAGTATATAGATACAGGAAGATGTTAATCGAATATGTTAATAACACAAGTTGGGAGATGGCTTCAACAGAGCCATTCAAGACAGTAATGACATAACAGGTTGACCAATGTTAGGAAAAGACTAAGAAAGTCTCTTTCTGATCTGCATTCCAGTGAAAATATGGGAAAATTAGTTAAGATATAACGAAGTCCATCATAGGATTAAGAAAAACTCAGGTGCATTTTATGCATCTAACCTCCAAAAGCAGGCATGGTTTGCATGTGAGAAAGTCTACATGCAATTATAGATCTCATCAGATATTTGTGTAGTGGCTAGTACCGTAATTTATCCTTTGTATAAACCAGCTCACGGTTGGCCTATCCCATGATAGAAGCTTTGTACATGTATTAAGTATTCAACTTCTCACCTGATTTTTGGAAGTCAGGAGGAATAGGGATTAGTCTGATAATGGACTGATACTATACCAGGCTTTTAGATCAGTGTAGTATCTATTTGTTGCATAACTTAATCTATTGGGGTGTAAAGCTGGTGTAAAAAATTGTGAGGTCATTTTGTTTTGTTTTGTTTTGCTTTTTTTAACAGTGTTTTGATTAGGGAATTATTGCATTGCCAGCTATGCTAGCTAGAATTTCAATGGTGTTTTTTTCTAAAGAGATCTATCTGTCACAGGCTGTTCACAAGTTGAGGGAGTTTCTTCTTTGCTTTCACATGTATATTATTAATTAATTTATTCCTATTGAATGCCATGAAGTCTTTAGAACACTGAATAAAATAAACCAGAAGATTGAGTGACTCCTATTAGTTAAATTGTTCAGATTTGGATTATAGTAGCCTGCAGTTTTGGGAAGGTTTTTAGATTCATTTCCTATATTTTTAAAATTTCCTTGCATCTTTTTTTTTTTTCCGAAGTTTCCAAAATTGACATGGAGCATTTTTTATGTAAAGATCTTGGCACAGGGAACTCTCGAGCTAAGGGTCATAGCCTCAACTTCTTTAGATCATCAACACTCTCCTATTGGTGCAAGTTATGTATTTAGTAACCCCTTGTATCTTAATACAAATAGATGCCTTTCTTACAATGCTTATTCTCACTGAGTACTTAAAGCATCCAGAACAACACTTTCATGCTCTGATGCAGGAAGTTAAACCATTACCTCATTTTCTAAGTATCTGAGGAGGTGGGTTTGATTTTCTTGAAGTTCATTAAACATCATTTGAAGCAACTGGCTGAACTCAGTGAAGTTATGCTGATATACAGCAATGGAAAATGTTTTCCTATATCCTTTGCATCACTTTGCTTTAGCTCTATGATCTTTTAATTAATAAATTTTCTCAAACATTTATTTCATTTCAAATATTTTCATAATTTAATTATGCTCTAAATTTGTCTAACTATTCAAATATTGATTCTTACAGAAATATTTGGTTTGGGTTTGTTTACTTCTTCAACCTGTTCACTTAGACCACTCAATACTCAAAAATTCTTGGATTCTACTTGTTCCCTCCCCTATCTGTATTTGCCACAAGTTTGATAAATAATCAAACGATTTTGAAAAACTGGTCCAACATTTTAGAAGCAAACTCTGAAGGATAATCTGACAAGTACATGCAGGCGTGCAAATAAATACACAAACATATGTGCACACAAAGCATTACTGAAATAAACACACAAATAATCAGACAAATATCATAAACATACTTAGAAGGCGTGCATTTAGACTCCTTTGAGTCACACTACCTGGTCTGTATTAACAAAAATAGAGACAAAACCAGACTGGAGGAAGGTCAGATGGAAAAATTATCCTGTACTTGCTTTATGTGTAGCATGGAGACAGCTGAACATGACATAGTAGGGCTGCAGTGTTCCTGACTGCTCAAGGCAAAGATGGCAACTGATTTATTGGGATAAAAGATGTGAACACTCAACCACCACGGCATGTTTTCAAATAACAAAATTACTATAAATACTGACATTCAAAAGGTCCAAAGGCCAACTACAGGGACATATAACTCACCTACTGCTATGCTTCAATTATTCCCCAAGACCAACATTGATCTCTAAAAATATCCATTTGAAGTACATCCTGACAAGGATCCACAGAAAGAAGACATACAACCAAGATAGCAAGTAAATAAATTATTCATTTATTTCAACAAATAAATATACTGATAAAAAAAAAACTATCTTTTGCTTTAGGCATTCCATGAAATTTTTAAAATACAGTTATAAAACAGACTATTTCTAAAACAGGCCCTCTTCCCCCAAAACTTAAATGTATATGCTAAACAATCAGCTACGGTGCACTGTGATATTTTTGAGCTCCCACTGGCAAGCCCCTTCTCATTGCTCAGGAAGCAAATAGACCAAGATGCAGCCCACTCTGAAGCAGGAAAATGCGGGACTATTGGTTCCAAACTCTGCTAGATAATGTTTCTGTCCACTTTCTTATGTTTGATTCCACCTTGTGTTAATTTTGCTGCATGGTATTATGTCCTGAGGAACAGTCTCCCAGATCAATGAATGGGTTCCTGTTTAGAGGTTTTGGATTTGTAGCTAATACTTTTCATTCCAAATAGCCCCTTGTAGAGAGATGATGTAAATTTAGAAGCACAGTGTCCTGTAGCCCTGGAATCAAACGGTTATTGCATGAGCTTCCAGTATTTTTACTAGCATAATTTCTCTAGCTAAATGTAAGAGAAGGCCATATATTTTTCCCAGAAGTGAAGAATTCTTCCATATTCCCTAAGGTATCTCTGTCTTCTGTGCAATTTCGTTGAAAAATTCTTGTGAAACAACCACATATTTTAGTATAACCCGTGTAAGAAAGGATATTGAGTTTTAACAGTGTTTATTGGAAACAGGCAGTTGAACAAATCAGTGTTGAGCGGGTTCATGTGTTTGTAGGGATGGGAAAAGGCAAATGAGAGTTGCCTTTTGATCCACAAACATGAACAGCCTTGTTCAGTGTTTCGTAACAAGCTCATTGAGAACACCAAGTTCCTGGAAGAAATTTGCACAATTTGAGTCAGAAGCTGGCAGCAGTAACAAAAGTTTTATAAAAATGTAGCAAGATGTAGTCACATACAGCACAGCAATAGCTCAGCTTGGGGCAGGCGATATCTTATATATCTATTATATTTAAGAGCAGATGAGTGTACACCCTGAATATGGGTAGTGCTAATTACTTAACCTGAGAGCAACTGATGGTTATTTAAGATTCCTAATCTCTGAATCTGAGCTACTAGAATTCATCAGATCACCAAACAATACGGCAATTCTTAGTGAACTAAGATAGACTGTTTTTAATCCACGTAACTCAGTGACTGTCATCAACGCTGGGTGGCTGAAAATACTGTGAATTTTGCTCAAATGGACTGGGTCTTTTGCAAATTAGGTAAGAGAGAGCATGGTTGTATCAGAAAACAGATATACACCTGGCACAGCTTTGCCATAAATTAGCCATGCTTACGAATACTAATGCATCTGAAACCTTCCCTGGCATTGCACAATGGCTGATAATAGCTTGGGGGCTCAAAAATAGCTTCAGCATCCTGGGATTCTGGGTGGTATATATACAAATCTAATTTTTGAAAACTGAAAGCACTGAAGTATATTGCAAAGCTGTAATAAGTTGGTCAATGCAACCCAAGTTCTTAACCCTGAGGCTTAAACTGTGTTTCTATTTGCAAAGCATGCAAAAGTGAGCATCTTCTCACCTGCCACATCTGTTCCTCATGTGTATTTAGAGTTATATTTCTACATTTTCATGATTCATTTTCTTCTGCATTTTACTCTTATTGGAAAAAAGCCCATCCAAAAATCAAAGTATATCATGAAAGTAAATTGCCAGATAGTATGAACTGATATTGCTAATAACTGTAGAGTTAATTAGAGTTGAGGAATTATTTCAAAATACGAGCTTGTTTTTCATATTCAGATTAACCTGCTCCTACTGCAACATGCATTTATATATGCATCAAAATGACAGGTCATTCCAATCTCAGGTGTCACCATTAATGGGCTAAGGGCAAGAGATTTGTGCAAACAGCACTAAGACATGTTCTACAATACTTGAGCTCTTCAAAACCAAATTTTCAATGCCCACTTTTTAAATCACTGCAGTGAGAAAAGAAAAAGAAAAGAACAAGGAACTGCAATCAGAATGTTATAATAAAATAAAAATACAATATTTAAATAAAATAACAAAAGGCCACAATTCTTGGTAATTTATTTAATCTTGCTTTAACTGAACATTTATTACCTCGAATATGTAATTCGACTGAGACATGCATTACACATTACTTACGTAATTAGCAGGAAAAGATCACAAAAGGAGAAGCTAGCTTATCACAATATACATTTCCTTATTCACTTCATAAGGATATCATAGCTTAGCTATACATATTTAATAGACTACACAGTACCCTTTAGCAACAGATCTAATAATTCTGT